GGATGAATCGAATAACGCGAATGAATTTGTTTCCCGATCGTGTAAGCCGTTTTACTGCAGTACCAATAGTTTCTTACGACCAAAGAGAGGTATCGTGACAGTGGCTTGTTTTATTTCTTCTTTTTCTTTTTTCTTTTTTCTTTTTGACCATGACATGAATTTATCAAAAGGCGGAAAACTAAATTGAAGTATGCGTGGTGCGAATATATATTTCACTGCAATCTTCAGTGAGAGATAGGAAACAAGTGACGTTTGTTGAAAGTGTGTTAGAATTAATTGATTATTTTACGAATCGCTCCTGTTTAATCACACTTATGATTTTCCCGATAAGAAGAAGAGCATACACAAATTATTTATATAAGGCAGCGTACAAGTCGAACGAATAATGGCGTAAACGATGTCAAGTAACACATCTATATTCAGATTCTCTTCTGTAGGTTTCATTAAAGTGCATTTCTTGTATGTTACACAGTATTATGGTAGAATATAAGAAAATAAATATTGCAATAGTAATCTGTTTATATCGATCGCTTTCCAGAGTCCGTTCCCGTGTTTGTTTGTTTTTGTTTTTTTTTTTTTTTGCTGTTACAAAAAAAAATACTGTTACGTTAGTTTTCCCATTTGTTTCATTTAATACATCGATGTATGATAACAAGTTTCGTATCTACCGAGTTCTTTATCTCGAGATAAATTAACGTTATGTGTCGTTATGTCATGTTTCTTTCAGTTTCTTTTTCTTCTTCGAAGATCAGTATATTTTTTACTACTTTCGAAGAGGACCTAAAGACGGAGATCGAACATGTCGAAGATTATGCTTGCGTAGATTAATTGTAAGTTACCCAAATGTATGTTTCGTTTACTTCAATTTCGTTACAAATAATTGATTTCACTTTACGAATAAAATATAAAGTATCGTTAATATCCTAGCACGTTTATAAATTAGAAACGATAGAAGCAGTATCGGTGTTAGAGTCGTCAAAAAATGACGCGAAAAATAGTAAAAAAATATCGCCGATGATGTTCGTATCGGACGCCATATTGGATTTCTCACTACCGAGGATACTACCCCTCAGAATTTCAGAAAGTTCGATACGTGTTCAAACATGTAATTTCATTTCTCATTTCATTTGTTTCTTTATAAAGTATTAGCCCATCTGAACTGATTACATTGTTCGTACTATATAGTTTATCATCTTTGGTGTGTCTATAATATTACAAAATATAATCAACATTCTTATCAAATCCAGCTCTTATACTTGTAACATTTTCTTACAACTAGGTATCGCATTTGGATTTACGTTCTTAACTTATCCTTAAACATTATTGCCTGCTTATTTTATTACAATACCGTTAGCATTTGTTATCCTGAAATTCTAGTACGTTTTCAGTCTTTATTCGACATTTCGATATATCTTACTCTGTAAAGATACTCTGAATCATGCTTTTTAATTTTTTATAACTAAAAGTAGTTATTTACGATTATTTAAGAGTCAGTGAAACCAATTATCGGTAAATCGGATTTTATATATTCCAAGAGCGAGGAAGAAAACTTTCTATCGGCTTTCTCTTTCGAATTGCTGCGCTCACAGCGCTGGCGTGGCGCGTCGGGTAGCCGAGAACACCCGATTCAGCCCGATCGCGGCCGATCGTTCAGTATGGCGACCAGTAGCGACGATTTCGCTTGAAGCTGCGTCAGACATCGTAAAATTACTCCAGTTTCGTATATTTTGTACACATCGGTATCGTATTCTTTGTTAATTCAACTCTATGCACCGAAGTTTAAACAAATTGGTTTTTATAAATGGTGACGCCGATTATAATATCATCGGATAATGTTACGATTCTTGGTTTCGAATGTGCTCACATTTCTATATCGTAATAAACATAACCTATCACGAGAATGTGAGCTTCGAACGTTCAAGTCATGAATAACAGCAATATAATATAAATCGAATCCGTATTAAGTAGTGCGGATATAATTCTTTCGTTTATACTTATCGAAACGGTTTGTTAAGAAACGGTGAATTGGTTAACCGAAAAGTTGTGCGAACGTACAGGAAACATGAAAAGCAGTAAGTAATATTTCGTTATCGATATCATTCCAATGTTTTCTTTAAGTATTTTCACATGCTGTTTAAAATATTTATTTATTTATTTATTTATTTATTTATTTATTTATTTGTAACGTATTAGATTCAGACGAAAGCGATCAAAATGATGATCAAATTATGGAGGGTAAGGAAACCTACCAAAGCTACTTGAACGAAAGGCACAGTAGAAAAAGGACACACGATGCCTCGGTTGACGAAAGTTCAGATTTATCGGATTACTCTGAAAATTTTGATGAAAAGGACGAAGCAAAGTTCACTTCGCACAACATGTATCAGGACTTGTCGTGTCAACAGGATTCAGGCGACGAATGTAGCAGCCTAAATATGGAGACTAAGCATACGGAAGACAGAGTGTCTAATTCTAACGACGAAGCAAAAGAATCGAGCACATCGCGATCAGTGTACGAAGACACTTATCATCCTTACCATAAACGACGGAAAATTTGTAGAACAAAACAGACAGACGATGATACTACCGATGAAGACAAAAGTAACGATACAAAGGAACAATTGAAAAAGGAACCCGCGAGTGTCTTTGGAGAAGACAAAGGTCAAAGAATGATGAGGTTGATGGGGTATACGCAAGGTCACGGTCTTGGAAAAAATAAGCAAGGCCGTCTAGAACCCGTTCAAGCATCCAAACAGCACGGTCGTAGAGGGCTCGGGCATCAAGTTCCTGGACTCGAAGCTGCGAGTCTGCAATGGAATCCCGAGGAAGAAGAGATATCAGCTATAGAACCCATAGAATGTTTAGCCAATCCGCACACTGAGTTACCGAGTTGCGAAGAACTGGAAAGTTGGTTGCAACTGGGACCTAAAAAGCTTGTCGTAGACACCAAGACTCCGTTTTGTAGCGAGGATATAGTTATGAACATAATTAATTCAAAAACAGTATTTGATAATTTGGACAGCGTTGAAATGCGTCGCGCGAGAACGCGTAGCAATCCTTACGAAACTATTCGCGGCTCGATCTTCTTGAATCGTGCTGCTGTCAAAATGGCAAACATGGATAAAGCTTTCGATTTTATGTTTACCAGTCCAAAATGTCTGCAAAATAACGAACTGCTCTACTTCGCGGATGTATGCGCTGGACCGGGTGGTTTCAGCGAGTACGTTCTATGGAGGAGAAAATGGCACGCCAAAGGATTTGGTTTCACTTTGAAAAACGAAAACGACTTCAAGTTAGCAGACTTTTACGCGGGTCCTTGCGAAACGTTTCATCCGTATTACGGCCCGAAAGACAACGGCGATGTCTTCGATCCTTCTAATCAAGAAGCTTTCAGAGAGCTCATAATGACGCATACCAACAACGAAGGGGTACATTTCATGATGTCCGACGGTGGATTTTCAGTGGAAGGTCAAGAGAATCTACAGGAGATTCTCTCGAAACAATTATATCTCTGTCAATGTTTAGTAGCGTTGATGATCGTTCGAACAAAGGGTCATTTCGTCACTAAACTGTTCGACGTTTTCACTCCCTTTAGCGCGGGTTTAGTTTATTTAATGTATCGCTGTTTCGAGGAAGTGTGCATATTCAAACCGAACTCCTCCAGACCAGCGAATTCGGAACGTTATTTAATATGTAAAAGGAAACGGGAGAATACAGAAGTCGTCGAGCAATACCTGAAACGCGTTAATCGTTTACTTTTAGAAAATGACGAGAATAACGACGTTACGGAATTGGTAGCGTTGGAGGAATTAGAAAGGGAAGAGCGATTCATAAAATATTTACGAGAATCGAATGATATTTTAGGAAGGAAGCAAATAATTGGACTCCGAAAAATAGCTGCGTTTTGCGAGAATAGTACGCTCGTCGAATCGAAACAAGCTGATATGCGTAGAGAATGCCTTAAATATTGGAAACTTCCAGAAGAAGGTAGAACGGTACCGAGATACATGAAACCTCAGGATAAATTAAAGGCTCTTTTAAAAAATGCTACTTCGTTTCTCTCCAAGAGCGCAACGAAATTGACGTTAGATAATATACATAAGACGATATTGAATCAGCCGTACGATTGGTTTTGTATGCCCTGTGGTACTGGATCCACCGATGAAAATAAGAACGCCACGTTTTATCTGGGAATGGGAAGAAGTAAAGTATATCGTTACGTAAGAGGTAGTTGGGATCGCGTCAGCGATGTCACCTTAGAATTACCACCAGATACACTCGTATACGGCGAAGTTGTCTATGAAATGAAAAATGAGTCCAAGCATCAGCACAAAGTACTAGCGTTACACATTATAGATGCTTATTTCTTGGGCCAAGAAGACGTCAGTCAAAAATACTTGAGGGACAGGTAACGATAAATTAATTCTAACGAATATTTTAGTCTATAAAGAATTACTGTTTCATATAAAACTTTTTACAGGCACGAGCTCACGAAGAAATTTTGTCAAGCTTTATGGAAGCCAGACGGAAATAGACACGCTCGTATACGTACCAAAGAATTGATCCTTGTCGTGCCAAACATGCGCGAAAAATTACAAGTAACGCAACGTATCATGAAGAATAATCGAACAGCTTGGGTATACGAATTCGCGGAAATGCCTTTAGCCAGCCACAGTTCTATTAACAGAAACGGTTCCGATAAACCGTACTTTATACTAAATAGTATACTTTTTTTGAAAAGTACCGCTGCTCCTTGGAATCGATATTTTAGTAAGACACATTCCAGGACGTATGTTTTTCATCCGAAAACTAGACAGAATAAATTCGACTTGCAGAGACCTGCCGCGGCTGAGGCAGGTTTTGTCGAAACGTTTGATAATCGTGTTATTTGGTACTGGCCTAACGACGAAACGGTTACTATGGACATCGTTACGCTACATATTAGCGAGAAATGTCACAATCATGAATTGTCTTCGGTAGACTATTAAAAATGCAATATATAACAAAATTGACTACATGTATATATTTGTAAATACATATGATACTGTATGTACGCGTATAATATAATTCAATCGATACAACTAATACAACGAATACAACTGATTCTAGATAGAAATATACAAACGGTATAACTTATTTCTAGTAAGTACAATTAAATATTCATTTGTGGCGGCAGCGCCCATGATAGGATCAGTTCCCGGACCTAAATCTACGATCCATTGTTTGCCAATTTGATCGTCAAGTTTAGGCTTTTTATATAAGAATATATATCTCATGTGTTCCAGTATAACTACATACGAACCATCTGAAATTATAGTAAGTTAAATCTTGCAACAAAATCGAAATATATCTACGTAGTAATTTATATACCGACCAGCTGGGGAGACGCAAAACATTTTATTACTTTTGCTAGCTTGGACATAACCAAAACCAGGAAACGTATAGTGATGTTTTATATCCCAATGAATATCATCCCCTTCACCAGTAATCCATAAACAACCGTCGTTGTCGTGTCTGAGAAATATCGCTTGGCCAGTTTGCGTTTTGTGCGTGAGTAATATATGATTACTCATTCCAAGCATAGCCAAATGTGTATTTTCTTGAGTGGAGAGATTAATTCTTTGTAAGAAATTATCTTTTCCTTCGAGGTCGCACTCTTCGAGTTGTTCAGCATTGAACCCTACGCAAGGTTGACCTTCTAATTTACCGTCTGCTTGATCTGTACATAAATGAGCCAACCTGAATTAAAAAAAGAAAAAAAGAAAAAAAAATTAAAGCTAATCCAATATTTTTAGAAAACTTGAGAGAGTACATCCTGTGTGAGTACCAATTAATTATATTTAGAAAGCATACCTGGAATGAATTTCAGCAGCCAATGTTTCATTAGGCAAGCATTCACCACCTGTATCACCCTTAATTAATTCGCTCCACATCAAACCACTTTCTTGTTTAACCAATTCAAGTCTACACGTATCCTGTTCGTATTTCCATGTTGTTAACTTTTCATCTAATCTATGTTGGCATTGGCCTTGTATCAGTACATTATCCTTCATTGTTACTGATAGTTCTAACGGTGTTACGCGTACTTTGACTTCGCTTTGGTGTTCCTTTTCTACTTTAATCCAGACCGTCAACGAATCCGCATCTTGCGACCAGCAATATTTCGGAATTTTTCTTTCGCTCGATTTTCGTAAATCCTTTTTATTATCAACAAACTCTTGTACTTTCGGACATTCAAATGTGATATAATCCTGACAAATGGAATGTAAATATTTGCCATTATCTTCTATATATACATATTCAACAGCACCTTTTACTTTTAAAGATTCTTTACTTCGAAGCTCGAATGATTCGTTTTCACTTCCTATATTTTTCCGATCGTATGTTAATAACAAGAGGTTTGTGAATTTTTTTTCACCTGTACTTTTGATATTACATATTGCAATAATAATAGTAGACGCTGTATCTATACAGCGTACATCTAATATAATTCCAGGCTCTCCACCACTTAGAGTAAAAGCTTCCGTGTGATCTTCGGTTTTCATTATTAACAATTTTAAACAATCTCCACCATCGGAGACTGCAATAACATCATTATTAGCAAATGCAATCGATGGGTTGTATAACAGATTTTGTACATTTTCTTTAGAATCGTGCATCGAGTACTTTTGTTCCAAGGTACCGTTGTACTTAAATTGCCAAATTAACCAATTTCTATCGATAAACCAACACGACATGTCGTGTGGATTCATAAACAAATGATTGTGAAATGCAAATAATCGAGTTTCCAAAAAGGAGTCTCGATTTGAGGGTAACGATAATCTCATTACATCTGTAAATTTTTCAGAAACGATAACGTTACATTAAACGACTATAACTTTTTTCGTTAAACTCACCTGCTTTTAAGTCTATCTCAGAAGTTATTGGAAACTTTCCAGCGGAATATTGATATTTCTCGAATTTCGAGTTTATCAGATTTTTCTCTGGACGTAATTCAACAATTTTCGTCATTTTCTCTCTTTATTTCTACTCGCAATACTCGAATTGACAAATAAAAGAAACACTAAGACGAAAATTATTATTTTCCAATAATGAATTTTCTTTGCATTATCGAGTGAAATTTGGTTTCACCAAATTATTTTCTCATCTTTTCCCGTATACAAAATTAATGAAAATTAATTTGAAATAGTTCGAATTGTTTACTATTTTTTTTTGGTTATGTATGATATCTGTCAAGTGTACTAATAAATTAATTCGTTTATTGGCTCACAGATGAAATCTATACAGCCATGTTAAACGCTAGCATACGATCTTGATAATTATTTATTTAAACAGATGTTAAAAGGAATCATTTCTATCGATAACAAAACAATTCAATTTTGCATACAAATTTGTATACGCGTTCGATTCACGGACACGGAAATGGATAGTGGCGCCATCGTTGGGAAATAAGTACATAATTAATTCGATTCTTTGCGTTATAACACTATAATATATTAGTTAATATGTCAAATTTATCATTTGTATGAATATTTATTTAATTTAACAATAATTATCAATTCTTCACTAAGTGTCGCCATCTAACGACGAGAGTGGGAACTATCTCCACTACAAGCTTGGGCGCTTTCTCACCGATGTTAAATAATAAGTGTATAAAATAATAAAATGGTTAGCGCATATGTAATTATGACAAATTTATCAATTTTATGAATAGTTATTTAATAATTATTCAGAAACTTGCATTATGTATATTACACCACTTTAGCGATCCCGTGGTACCCTAGCTATAAGGAGGTCAAGTTCTGTCCAGTGGACCCCAACAAATATGTAAAGAAATGTAATGTAAATGTAAATAATAAATGTAATTAATATAGGAAATTAAGGATTGATGCAAAAAGAGTCCTGTAAAATTTGCAAGTTGTCGCGCTCACAGAGCGGCTCAGTGAGCAGTGGCCTTCCTGGATGTCACGTTTCTAAATCATTCTAAACTTGAAACTCCAATACACGGAAAGATAGCGATTCAGTGTTTAGACTGTTCGGTACGGTCAGTACCATTCCGTACGTAATAGTTACAATATGGTCGACAACATGAGCGACGACGTGGTGAACAATGTGCAAAATCTGAATTTAAAGGACGAAAAGGCATGAATACAGTTTACACTTGTCATAACTTCTCGCATTTTTATTTGTAGCGTTAAAATATGTTGTCGAGTTCACGTCTTTGCAGTATCAGAAACTTTTATAATGTTTCTAAGCGGACACATGCTTCTTGGGTTGGTTATAGAATATATTGTCATGGTACTTTTTCGTAATGTCGTGTTACAGACTTCGTTTTTCACCTTTCGTTTATCAATTTCACAATCGATTGCAGGAAAATTACTAGTTCTTTGTCCGTTCTAAGAATGACCACCCATAATGTTAGAATCGATAATCTGACGCAACAATTCGAATTTTACCTTTCTGCTGTGTGCGACTAACTTTCTTGATGTGTTAATATCGTATTCTGTCGATTAACAAGTTTTTACGAAATTTTTTATCCTTTATACATATCTCTTTTTCGTCGAATGTAGGCGAAGTTGATGAAAAAGACGAAAAAAAAGAATGCTCCTGCCGATGAACATACAGTGTCCGAATTAAATCCTTGGCCCAGCTATATCCAGGTACATCTCGTCGTTTATTTTATCGTAATACATGTATCTTACGTGTAAATATTTTTCTAGGATCGTATCATACTGTGGAATAAACTAAAAGCTGAATACGATGCGTCGATAGCTGAGAAGCCGGTCACCGATATAAAAATAACTCTTCCCGATGGAAAGGAAGTTGCTGGTCAGTCTTGGCGTACGACCCCGTATGAAGTTGCAAAAAATATTAGCCAGGGCTTGGCGGATAGTATCGTTATTGCAAAAGTCAATAACGAACTATGGGATCTGGACAGACCTCTGGAGTTCGATTGTAAACTCGAACTTCTCAAGTTCGACCATCCCGACGGTCAGCAAGTCTTCTGGCATTCCAGCGCGCATATTTTGGGAGAAGCCATGGAAAGAGTATACGGCGGTTGCTTATGTTATGGCCCGCCTATAGAAAATGGATTCTATTACGATATGTATTTAGATGACAAAGGGATTTCAAACTTAGACTTTCCTTACTTGGAGAGTCTGTATAAAAATATAGTTAAAGAGAAGCAGCCTTTCGAAAGATTAGAAATGAAAAAGGAAGATCTCTTGGAGATGTTTAAATACAACGAATTTAAGCTTCGGATTATTAACGAAAAAATACATACACCCACCACTACGGTGTACAGGTGTGGACCGTTGATCGATTTATGCAGAGGCCCGCACATTAAACATACCGGAAAGGTTAAAGGCATCAAAGTTACCAAGAACTCTTCCACTTATTGGGAAGGAAACGCCAACGCGGAATCGTTGCAGAGAGTTTACGGTATCAGTTTTCCAGACACTAAACAATTGAAGGAATGGGAAAAGTTACAAGAGGAGGCTGCTAAGAGAGATCACAGAAAAATCGGGAGAGAACAGGAGCTATTTTTCTTTCACGAACTCTCTCCTGGATCGTGTTTCTTTCAGCCTCGTGGAGCGTACATTTATAATACTTTGATCGAATTTATACGCTCGGAGTACAGAAAACGAGGCTTCCAGGAAGTAGTGACGCCTAATATTTTTAATAGTAAACTGTGGCAAACGTCTGGCCATTGGCAACATTACGCGGAGAACATGTTCTCGTTCGACGTCGAAAAGGAAACATTCGCGCTGAAGCCAATGAACTGTCCTGGCCATTGCATGATCTTCGATGTTCGTAACAGATCTTGGCGCGAATTGCCATTAAGAATGGCCGATTTCGGCGTGTTGCATCGAAACGAGTTATCGGGCGCTCTAACTGGACTCACCAGAGTGAGGCGTTTCCAGCAGGACGATGCGCATATATTCTGTTCGGTTAACCAAATCAAGCAAGAAATCTGCGGAGCACTCGACTTTCTGCGACACGTGTACACGGTCTTCGGATTCACGTTTAATCTGGTTCTCTCCACGAGACCTGAAAAGTACATGGGAGAGTTAGACATGTGGAATCAAGCTGAAAAAGCACTGGAAGAGAGTCTAAACTTATTTGGAGAACCGTGGAAGATCAATCCTGCGGATGGGGCGTTTTACGGTCCGAAAATTGATATAACGATTATGGATGCGTTAAAGAGACCCCATCAGTGCGCTACCATTCAGTTGGACTTTCAGCTACCGATCAGATTCAATTTATCGTACGTTAAGTAAGTAGAAGAATTCTAATAAACGTTTTCAAAAAATACATACACCCACCAGAATTCTCCACGATTCTCTACCAATAGAATTCTAATACGAATATTGCGAAATTTTAGCGAAACTGGAGAGAAAACGAGGCCAGTGATCATTCACAGAGCTATCTTAGGCTCCGTGGAGAGAATGATCGCGATTTTAACCGAATCTTATGCCGGAAAGTGGCCATTCTGGCTGAGTCCGCGACAAGCGATGGTCATTCCAGTAAGTCCTCTGCACAACGATTATGCTTTCCAAGTGAAAGATAAACTCTGGAATGCTGGGTTTATGGCGGAAGTTGACACGGACGCGAGCGACACTTTAAATAAAAAAGTGCGAAACGCGCAGCTGGCACAATTCAACTTCATCCTTGGTAACGAAAAATGCTAACGTAGTCTAGGTCTCGCGTTACAAAATAACGGAACGTTCAACGTTTATGGTATTTTCAGTTGTTGGGGAGAACGAGCTTAACGCTAACACGGTTAACGTACGAACCAGGGACAACGTGGTACACGGAGAAGTCGGTGTAGGAGATTTGATCGAGAAATTCAAATTGTTCAAGGAAAGGAAAGACAAGAATTGCGAGGAGAAGTTTTAAATAAGCTCTGCGAATAAGCAAAATATTAATTTATTTGTAACTAGTAATTCCGGTGTTATCGATTGTAGTACAAGTCCGACCGAATTTCAAATAACATTTTCTATATGTACTAAAAGTAATGCACCCAAAGCTATTTGAACAAAATATTTCACGCCGCGAGAGTCCTATTTCTAGAGACATTTTACAAAGACTTAGGATAACGTTTTATAGAATATTTTGCATTTAATCGATTCTATGGCCAAGGTTCGATACGTTAATAAAAAAAAGGAAGTAACGGATACACAGAAACCTTTTTTCAATGTCAGTTTATCGAATCATGCATTTATTTTTGTAGAGCGATGTACAACTACTGGAAAGGCATAACTTCGTGTCAAGATTTATTTGATCGATATCTATCTCGTTTACTTTGGAGTATGTACCCAGAATGAACGCATCGTATCACTGGGTAAACAGTAACGAATAATACTGCTGTATTTGAATCACGAGTGACTTGTACGGTGTAAATGGAAAATCACGTGATATCATTCAAGCTGCATTCGAAGTATTACGCGGTGTTTGTTCAATTTTTTTGTTTGTTTAAAAAATGATAAAATACGTGGGGTGATATATTTCAGATTTTCTAAGCATTTGTTTTTTTTAAAAGGATTTATCTCTATCGTTCGAAGAAATCTTTGACGATAACTTACTTAGAAGTTACAGGATAACGTTCGAGTATCTCCGTCTTTATAGCAGAAACATTGAGTGCATATTGTAATTCGAAATGTTCATCTCGACGGCTGTGCTTCGTAATTTATTGCAGAAACTGTCAGTACGCGTATTGCTGTAACTGCGTTTAATGTCGAGAATAAATTGATGCTGTAAGTGGTACGTCATATCGACATGGGAAGAAGACATTTCTCCTTTCAATATTTATTGTAAATTTTTTCAATAAAATAGCATATTCGAGTGAAATCGCTCCCTATAATAATCCTTTTTCGTTTATAAATGTTTTAGTAATAGACGTAAACTCGACATCGAAAAAAGCTGAACGCGCAGTGCTGTAGCTATAGAAAACAACGTATGATCCCATAACAACGGTTGACGTCAAACCAGGAAAACCGTATGTTTAGTTATAAAAAAATGTGTAATCAACCCCCTATGTTATAATTTATTAAATACTAAGTATTAGATACTTTACTGACGCTGAAACCAGTGCGCATGCGCGATTGAGAGTCATTACCACCAGTATCACAACTACGATTTATTTTCGATTTCACATCGATATTATAACATATTTAAACTTTCTATAACCAACTTCAATTAATTTATCACTATTAAATAAAGTTAATTATTCCGCCAATCTTTCCTTAATCAACATGTTGGAGCTAGTTATGTTTACCGTAGTACTTCTCGAAATTCATATTCCCGCGAATTTTAAACGAAGAAACCTTTTTACATGAATAAATATATTTTATAATATCTACACTTCTTTTATGGGACACTTTAGAACGAGAAAGAACCTCTCGTCACGATTAATATCGTTAATAATTCTGTTTACTTTTGGCAGGAATATTCTTTTGGCGAACTGCGCATGCGCCGCTCCATGGAGTGGGGAGCTCCTTTTCCGGGAAGAAGAGCAAGCGGCGAGCAGGAACCGGAGTCGTTCTGTTTGGTGTTGTAAAATGACAGCCATTACGATTTCGCCGGCTACACATGGAATTATTCAAGTTATAAACGAAAGCAATCTATGTAAAATCGAGAGGTAGGCGTTACGTCAACAATTGCGTCGTGAATTTCTTCTCTGTGTACATTCTGCATCGTTGCTATCGATTTTTGTTCGTAGCTACCTCAATGACACGGCGTACAGAGAATCCATCGAGAATGCCTCGAATTATAATAGTCGACTGTGCAAGGAACGACGGCTACGAATGCCTTTCCTCGACTCGCAGACAGGTATTGTTTACTTTATATTTTTCATAAATACTCGTACAAATCCGATCGTCGTGATATTGTATAACCACTGTAGCGGATAAGTAGAGTTAAAGAGTATCTGTCCATTTTATACCGAGTTCTCTAAATAATTATTCTTGGAGCGCATAAATTTCCAAGTTAATTAACTCGCTTGCATCGAGAAGTAAAATGCGTAGAGCTATGTGTATCTTAGAGCAAGAAATAATCCACAAACAATGGCTTCTTTAACGCTCGTTTGAATATGTCTTGACTTATCTGTACCTTCGACATCGTGTACAATCAGTCCATGTCAATTTTAATTTTTTGAAGTCGATATACCATTTGAGAATTGTTTGGTAAGTAACATTTTATGGAATGACAGGTGTGGCGATGAACCATTCAGCACTGTTTATGTCAGCGAGGGAAAGGCTTCCAGGTTTATTGCACGGTCAAATCTACACGTATCCTAGTAAAAGATGGCGAAAGAAACGGCGTCAATATTTGATGCATTACTTGCATCCAAAACGAGGACCAAGAGGTGACCCGGAAGACTGCGTCGAGGGCGTAGAAACTGTGACGCATGTAAACGATGAAATCAAAGAATCAGTTGTTCTTAAAGGTGGATATACTTGTTCTTTACATATACGAGTCGATGAAATACAAACGTTTAAGCTTGTTTCGTCTAATTTAATAAACAATACGACGATAAGTTTTTCCAGAGGAACATCATAGCAAAGATGCTTGGTACTACGACGAGCAGGACATGTTGGATATGGACACATACGACGAACCTGATCCTGAAAGCGACTACGATTACGAAGAGAGCTACAGTAGTAAGAGGAAACGAAGGAAACCACGTGGTGCTGGTCATCATCCTACGCGAAGTCACCCCCCTACCACAGACAGCCCTGGGAGTAAGCGTACAAAGGTAACTTTGATGTATTTTATTCAGACTTCCATTGTGCAGTTTCGTACGAGAAATAGTATTAAAAAAATCACTTGACTCAGCATTCGGTCAAATGATTATCTTAATTTTCTTACGTATATGTGACTTATTTTAAATTTGTCGTTTACGTTTATTGAATAGGGTGGGGGACGTGGGCGGAAAAAAAACAACTATGACGCTGCTGACACTGATAAGCCATTCGTTTGTGACCGTAAGTTTAATCATAGATACAACTACAAATGACCACTTCCTGTTACTAGATTCATTATAAATATTATTACTATTAGTTCTATCAGTTGTTATTTCGAATAAGACGAAAGAAAAAAAGAAAAAAAAAAAGAAAGAAAGATAAGTGCATTACGTTAGAAAATTTGTTAATTTTATTAAATAACTATATTTTTATGATGCCTACGTATTATTTTACAAGATACGCAAAGGTTACTATATAATATATGATATGGAAGTTCGAAATAAATTATTGAAGATTTTAGTCTTGGTTACCGCATAATTTTACACTTGGGGTATGGTGATTGAAACATATAATGAACTTTATAACGTGGAAAGGTGCCCTTTTAGCCTTACATTAATTTCACATCGATTTAACGCTCTCTGCTCGGTGATATTGATCAGTACTGTATTGACTGCTGTTTTCCTTCAAGTTTATGAATTGCTGTATATTACAGGATACTCCGATCCTTATCGTACGATTTGTGTTTGTTCAAAACCTTGTGTTCCATTTCTCTTTTCCTATTTGATCGAAGTATGAAGAGACGTGATATGGTTCTGAATGAAAGGCAAAGACTGATCACGCGTATTTCAACAATTTTTTCGTAAGAAGTATGTAAACATACGAACGTTATTTCTATAAAATGGTCCACCATCTTTCGATTTTTCGATGATATCAAATATCGTATCGTATCGTATCGTGTCCTCGAATCTTGTGTCACGATTTATCACCAACTTGTGTCTGTTACACAGTAGCCTCTAGCTTTTCTCTGTTTAGTACACTACAGATTCCGTTTACGTAAATAGTCAAAGACCCGAAGTAATTCTTGGAATAGTAACGTCGCGATTGTCCAAATCTTGAAGGAGTATAATAGTCACTACTAATTTGATCGAACTTTTTCAGACACGAGGTCTATGAATTAACTCGAATGTGCCTGCAATTTGTTTACTTCTTGAAACCACTCCTGTTAGATTAGCAGAAAATCTAAAGACATTTGGTCGGGGATAGTAAGCTCGGATTCCAAATGAGATTTCAAAACATAGCGATCAACCCTGGAAGCTTACAAAATTGACCAAATATCTTCGGACTTAATACTACCTGCCAATAACAGAGCAAGAATGTACTGGCTCACACTGTAGCGAGCTCATTCTGTAGGAGTATACAAGCATCAAAGCCTTGCATCGTATTAGTTTTGCTTCTTGGGCTGGAACTCCTTCACTGCTTGTCCACATATAGATTCGTAGGTGGATAGGGATATGTACTGGTACGGAAGGTGTGCAAATGCTGTCCCTGACCCGTAAGCTTCTATCCCATGATCCTTTAACCGCCGCGTTCTCATAATTTCACACTTTGCTTGAAAAGAAGGACGTCTTCGTTAGTCGCTCGAGCACGATATTAATGTCGTTTCAGATTAAACAATTTCTCGAGACGTATTCCATACGTGCTCGTTTTACTCTGGAAAGATATAAAAATATGTGCTCGAGCATAGGTCTCGTCATAAGTTTGACGTGGTGGTTAAACGACTATATCCTCCCAAACGTCCAACCAACTCGTCGACCAAGATTTCTCTCATCATGGACGTTGCATTGGATGGTTTGTGGGAAAATAGTATTTGCACTTTTGCAGTATGCAGCGCACGGTATAAAACCAGACCTGGTCTGGTCTACCATTACGGTCATTCCCACTCTACTTCCTCCGGTGATCCTGCTAAGGAACTAAGTCCCAGTCCTGCCGAAGTTGAACCTAGGAGCGTTGCAGACACCGCTGCTTCGAACCAGCCAGGTTGGAGCCAAAATCAGCTCAGTTTTCTCACTCTCCTTCAAGTCACGATATCCCCCGTTCCCCCTGTCTCATCGTTCACCTCGATACCCTCTCATCTTTGATCTGATCCCGTTCACGCAACTCTGTTCACCCAACTCTGTTCACCCCAGACCATTCTTCCCAATCTCGATGGAACTAAGTATATTTTCTTTACATGTATTGCAAATGCATGCATTGCAGATAACGTAGCGTAAACTTTTTGTGTTCACTTTTTCATATATACAGCGTTCTTTTATACGTATGGACTTTTCTTGCACAACTCTTTTGCGAATACATATCCTGGACCGAGCCGTTATCATACGGAGAAACAACCCTTTAAGCCAGTATGATACGAACGGTTTCCTTTAGTATGTCTACTTAAGAACGATACCTTGCTCTCTCGGATCTGTGTTTCTCGTGTCTTGCTTTTCGATCGAACCGTGGATCTCAACTATTTTTAATAATAGACGGTTGAAAGTATAATTTAAAATAATTTGGATGTTTTTGTAGATGTATAATTAACGAGATCTGGGACCAGGAGAAGAACAGATTCTCGTACCCGTCCTCGGTCGAGAAGCGAGACATTACCGCATCGTCGTATTATCGATTCGAGAGAAGTGAAAAGCGATTGTTGCGAATGTTTTGCAATAGCATGCTTCTGCAATCGCGTCTAAGGACCGTTTCCGTAGTATTATATCGTTCGTAGAGGCGTTGTTCCGTTCGAGCCTTTTAGAATGGATAGCGTTTTTAGTCGCGTAGCCTCTCGAGTGTTTGGTATGTGTGTGTACTTTTAATGTAATATCAGTTTTCTGTATCCTTCTTCAGCATGACGATTACTGACAAGTAACAAGTATACTCTTTACGGCGTTTGACGAGTCTTCTGTTTGATCTTTTTTTATGTTTTTGCTCGTATTACGCTTTGTCTGAACTCCTAGAGCGATTTTGGCTTCGATTTTCCTCTCGACGAGCGCCTGCTGCTTCATTAAAGTTACGGGCACGGGAGACTGCTCTCCCGGAGTCGCGAAAGTAGCCCTGTCGCGTTTGTGCCGCTGTTTTGTCTGATCTTTGGAACGCATACTTCGACGTTGTATCGTTGGACATTGCTCTTGGTGATGGAATGCATCGATTTACGTAATTTGTGCACCTTGTTACGATTGTACAGGATGTCCCGTCGGAAACAGGATATTTTCAATTGTTCGGTATTTTGAATAACAGAAGGAAACATTGTTCACAGAAGTTACGCGCGGCTGTCTCTCGATGCTTCTTTTTATTATTAAAAATGGCGAAGATATCGAGATGACTTGTTTCTAGCGGGACACCCTGTACGTTATTTGACTCTGTTTTTCTCTTCATTGTTGTGCCAGTTCTTGTTTTTTAAAGACTGCGATGTTTCGAATAATCGATCTCGGTCGTTCGAACATACGTTACACGGATGAATTGTCGCTCGAAAAATTCTTCGAGTTTCGCTACGGAGGACCGTTTCTAACGATTGTTCTTTCTTTTATAGTCGACACAGAATCAGCTGGCCGCTGGAGGTCACTTCCCGCGCCACGAAAGTAGCTCCAGAAACGCCTGCCCGCTTTTAAGCTACGCCTTCTGGTCCTCGAGTGGTCGGGGATGACCGATCGGCGACCCAGTTGACGCTAAACCTACCGCAGTTGGTTAAACGAGTGTTTTCAAACTTTGATATACAGCTCTTGTATGCGATATACGAATTTTATACAATTGTTTCATGTATCGAGAAAAGTATCTCTAACCGTTTGACTGCTAAGCAATTCTTGCAAGAACGCACAAAAACTGCGGGACATATTTTCACTTGATGTTGTCAAAGACATTATCAAGACACACTGAAACTCGCAGCGCAAAAGCGCCGCGTCGCGGTTTTCGAGACAAATACACGCAACCGTTTGACTGCTAAGCAATTCTTGCAAGAACGCACAAAAACTGCGGGACATATTTTCACTCGATGTCAAAGCCACGCTGAAACTCGCAGCGCTTTTGCGCCGCGTAACAAGCCAAACGGTTAAGGGTAATTTATTTGTTTGACCACGGTAGAAGTTTAGCGTTAATTTTGTCTCGACTGTGATCGCCTGGTCAGTTACTCATTGAAGGTATTTTTGTTATTCAGGATGAGACTAAGATAAAATTCAGGTTGAAATTCGAAGAACGCCGGGTCAGACGATCGCCGTTTCCAGAGCTTGTTCGTACGATCGAGTCGATTGCTGGCCATTGTCACAGAATTGACTCTTTAAATCATTGTCTCTAAGCCAGTGTGCATGGTCATTAGCTTGTGACGCAAAGCGCAACTGGGTATGTGGTCGGTTTGTGATCAGGTGGTACACGTCGGGGTCGTCAGAACGCAACCTCATCGAGTACTTCGAGTCCCTCTCCCGCAGCACCTTCCGCGTCCGCTGCGGGAGCGTCCACGCAGCCTCAGCCGCAGTCGCAGCAGCCCCAGCCGGCCCAGCCTCAGCAGCAACCGTCGCCCCAGCAGGCGCCCACGCAACCGTTGCCTCCTGCCCAGGCGACGGTGGCGCCTCTCTCGCCCACCGTTCCACCAGCGAAGGAAGATCTGCCGACCGCCTCGTCGCCCGGCACCGCCGTTCCTTCGCCGTCCTCGGTGAGGACGGAGGGGCCGCCCACCCCTGGAAACAATGAAAAAAAAGCTGGCAAATCAGCCCAACCTTCCCCGTACTGCGACTTCTGTCTGGGCGACGCTAGGGAAAATAAAAAAACCGGCGGATCCGAGGAATTGGTCTCTTGCAGTGATTGCGGTCGCTCAGGTAAGCCAGAGGAAAAGATCAAGCGCAAGTATACGCGAAGAACGAATCATAATTAATAGAGGTGGCGCGTGGAACGTGTTCACCGCCACGGTATAATTGGTTAACGTGTCGATCGAGCATTCTCGAAACCAGAGATTACTTTCGGTGGTGTGTATACGTACTGACGTTGCCATGCACGCGGGGACGACTCTCGATGACCATTAATTTTTTTCTTCTCTTTTTAGAAAGCGTCTAGAGACCTTCGTCGAAAGGTCAGGAATCTCGTGGGATTCCCAGGGTCCATCTACCGCGCTCCCGGGTTAAGTTGCCGAGTGTCTAGAAGTTGAAAGGGGGCCGGGGTGAAGACCTTGGTGATACGGATAAATACTGTTAACCCTTTGCACTCGAGAGGTGACTCTTGCTCGCCACTAGCTTCGATGCAGTAAATCGGCCAACAATAGCGGCCAATAATATTTGTTTAGGTTTCATTTCTTTGGAACTCGAAGCGTCGATAAAATGGTTGTCGACAAGGTAAAGGTGACCCGATTAAACTTAGCATTCGTGGCAATAGATTACCAAGAAAGCATGTCAAGTTGCTAGTAGATACCAGAAAGAAAGGCCTCGAGTGCAAACGGTTAAGATATCACAAAATCACGGACAAGGGAAGCTTAAGTGATTGTTGGATCGCTGTAATACTTCATAGTTACATCAATGTGTATTCCATTTGTCATTTGCTTTCGTCGCGACCCCGACAAAAGCCATTTGTTGCGAATCGCATGGTCGGTAACAAAAATACGAATAACTCGAGGCGTATCTGATTCGACGGCAACTTAACTTGGGAGCACGATACTAAAACTCCCACGGTGTGTCCTGTTATGCGAGCACCTTCCAGTGCCCTCCTACTCCGGACGAGTTGCATGGGATATTTTTCTCCTAAACATTTCAATCGCTAATTTTCAAAGGATTAAGGAAAACAAAGGATAGCGTTAACTGTCCTCCTCGCGTGCATGGTCGGTAGCTTCTTTTCTCTTCCGTGTCTCCTTACGATCCGCGACCTGTGTTCGTAACAATCCAAATTATTATCGAATCAGCGATTTATTATCAGCGATCGGTTGTCGATGATTTGTTTTCTGAATCGTTACGCGGACCTTATTTTTTCATACCACCGGATCGTAACGGATAACCGAGAAAACGAGAACGCGAGAAGAAGGAAAGAAAGAATATTTTTGGGTCGAGGAAGATAGGACGATAACTAATTGCTGCGTGACGTACGTTCGAAAATCATCGTTAAAGGGTAAAAGTGCCGTGTGTGCAATAATTAAGAAACGATTGTCTGTACGGTTCGGGCGATGGATAAAGAACATAACGAGATATGGTTACGAGCTTTACGTACACTAGTCAAGCCACGAAAAAGCAAAAACATCACATTGTCAATGGGTGCAACTTGTCGCGTCTGAGTGATAGGAATTTTCGACAATTCCTTTGCGTGCACGGATCAACTGTGATTTATTGTGTAAATTTCAATGATTAGTTTTTAAGGGAAAATTTTTACGATGCAAAGAAAAGAAAAAAAAAACAATAAGTAATGTACAAAAAGTATAGCGAATTCGATACACGAATCTCGTTCCGGAATATTAACGAAAGCAAACGTCTTCGACGAATTAAAAAAGAAAAAAGAGCGAGCGAGAGAGCGAGAGAGAGAGAGAGAAAACTACTGTTTAGATAAATTTTCGAGGGGGGAAAAAAAAAGGAAAAAACGAGCAAAATTCCTGTTACACAGTATCACTAGAGCACGTATTGAAGAAGATGTGTTTGTGTTCTCTGTTTGACTGCAGTGTAATCGCGTTTTTACGTTATTGCGTTGGTAATCAAAGAGCGACGAGAAGTAAAAAAAAAACAAAAAACAAAAAACGAACGAAAGGGGGGGAAAAAAAGAAAGATGATCGAGAAGCTTGCCGCGAAATAATCGTTCTATAATCGAGAAGTTTTAAGAGAGCTTAACAAACGATACGAGTATATATACTTTATATAATTATATTATCCAGCACAGTCGTGAATCGTTTAACGAGAGCAAAACATATTTATATAGTAAGACGAGACGAAGGTCGAGACGACGTTTTCGACATTTCTACGTTTCTCGGGGGATCTGTAAATATTTCCTTTGTCTCCTTGCGTTTCGCATATTTCTATTTACAGATCGCGATACACGACACCTAAGAGCGCAGCACATATAACGCTAGTTAAAAAGTATTATCGTTCGAACACTCGCGTTAAGAGAAACTAATTTTTCCGCGCGATCAGGTTCGTCGTTGATTTAAAGTCACGTTTACATGTTGAATAAGTGCTCGATCGAACCTTCCCATCGCGTATGGTTTGATTTCTTTCCTACGAATCTCGCGGTTCGCCGCGACGAACCGCGCCAGAAAACTCGTAAGTCGTTTCTAGAATTCTTGTTCCCCTCCCCCGTTATTGGGTTACTGCAGGGATTTTAATTGGTACTTTGACCTCTGATTAATTAATCGATTCATTACCTGTGCCTTTCTGTGGTAAACGTACCGTTTATTTAAAAAAGAAAAAAAAAAAGGAACCGTACCACTCAACAAATATAACATAACAAAACGACGAGCAAATGTTTCTGTTTATAGTTACGTATAATTATCTTTTTTAATATTGTTGACAGGTCCTGTACAGGTCCTCATCAGATGATTTAACACGTGTTTTCTTCCTCTCGATGAATTTCTAATTGCATCCTATAATCGCTGTGCTAGCGTCGAGCGTATATTTTAATTATTCAAGTTTCGACTCGCGTCACGAGTATCTTATTTAATATATTGTTCTTTTAGTAACTTTAAATGTCGACCGCGGCGTTGGACGTCCTTGCAGCAACCACGCAGGGTCTCCGTAAGCTTCTCGTTTCAACGACTTACGAGCATTTCAAACAGACATCAAAATATCCAACGAAGAAATTCTTCGACGCGTGTTTCGCTTCACTTTATTCTTCTTCTTCTTCTGTTTCTTCTTCTTCCTTTTCTTCTTCTTCTT